TGGCTTTCTAATGCTACATTTTGCATTATTTCATGATGCCACTTTTACTCAAGAACAATATTGCAAAGTTCTAGTTTATAAATAAAATGAATCAACCTGCAACTTATAGCAGAAGGAGCTGGTCTTACGCACAACAAAGAAAGACTCCAAATGAACAAAGAACCAAGAGATGTTTCCTAAATTGGCATTAGGGATCACTAGCATCACCAGATGAGCTGATTTTAAGTGCTATGGATGGCCAATAAGAAGCAGCAGGACTTTAAGGAAATGAGAGGAAAGATTTTACTTTTATCACAGTGACCTAATTTGAAGAGTTAAGTAGCAATTAAATCACATTTACTGCTCAAGGTACAGGATGACCTGTAATGTCAGTTATCAGAAATGTCCCTAACTTGGGCAATTAGCTTTGAGTCAAATATGGTGTTCTGACTTTAAGCCTGATTATAAATTTGGAAACATGTATAGACTGCATGGTGCAATAGAAAGGGCCTAGTAAAAAATGTATATTTAAATTTGGCTCTGACATTTACATAAAAGCCCTCTTTAGAGATACACTAAAGCAGTTTTCTCAAACTTTAAATGTGTACATAAATCATCTAGGGATTTTGTTGAAATGTAGATTGTAATTAAATAGATCTGATGTGTGGTGCATGGAGTCTGAGATGCAGCATTTCTACCAAGCCCACATGTATGCTGATGCTGTTGGTCCCTGAACCAACTTTGAGTACCAAGGTCTTAGAAGATTATTGTTAGAATGTGGAAAAGGCACATGTGTGCATAGGAAGACACTTTGTGAATGGTAAAATAGCACATATAACACTTTACATTGATTAAAAATAGTCAAGGATTCAATTCAAGAAAAGTCCTAGTAGAACAAATTATGTTTCAGATACTTTTCAATTTTTCCTTTTTCGCAAAACCAAAAACAAAACTGGGAATTAGAGAGGCAGAACAAGAGAGATATTCATCCTAAGCAATATTGTTGCTTTTTTACTGTCTTGAAAGATTCACTTCTGTATCACTATCCACTAAAAAATGGGGTGGGAGGTGGGAACTGCTCTTGTTTTGTTCTTTAGAAGTTTGCACAATTAGAACCAGTACCAGATACATCCTAGAGATTGACTTGTTCCATGTAAAATAGAAATAGAAAATTACAAAGAGGAGGAAGATGGTTGCCCCCAGGAACACAGGTAGCAACAAGAAGGGATCACTATTAGGGGAAGAAATTAAAAACTAGTAAATCAGACACAAGAACAGAGACTCAGAGCTGTTTAAACTCAGAGCTGTTTAAACACTTAGCTTCCCTTAGTGAACCTGTTGTTTCTCATTGATGTTTGCATTTTCTAAAGGAAATGAACAAATTTCACAGGCACAGTCACTGATTTATAAAGCATTTCTGTGTTCCTTATCTAAAATACAATCAACAATTCCCTGTTGAAGAAAACATAGATTCTTTCTGAGTGTCCAGTCCCACAACATTTTGGCCAATATTTTATTATTACATGGTCAGTTTGCTACACTATATGAAAAAGATTTGTATCACATATTAGAGAACACAAAGCAGACCCCTCCCATGGGTTGAACCCTTTCCAATCTTTTAGATTTTGGACAGAATGACTCTCTGTCACACATGCAGATTACCAACACCTTACTTGTTCCCATGATGAACCTCTTTACAACAGTTCTGGAGCCACCATGATTACAGAGTTAGAACTCTGCTTCAGAGAAACTGAATTTTCATCAGTCTCACTTTTACCTAAGTTTTATACTTTGTCTTCCTGCTCCCATTTCTGTTTATCCTCTCTCACCTGCTTTTAGTGAAGGGCAGTATCATTCACAATCCAAAATGCCATTATTAAACAAATATGCGAGAATGAACACTTAAGTTTAGTGCCATCAGAGAGAGAAAGAAATGATAAACAAGGCTGAAATTCGAGTAACTGTCAACGTGTTTTGGCTGTGTCATTTCTTTAAAAAATAAATTCAAAGTGAAATACTAACACCAATTACTAACTTAATTCCTCAGTCCAGTCAATATCAATCATATCATGGTGCCATTTAAATGCAAAACAGCTATTGAGAGATTACTCTGAAAGTATTTAAAATGCAGAGATTTGAGAAATATTTAAAGACACCAGAACTGTGCTCTGGTGGGGAATATCACACAGCTGCACGTTGTTTTCTGCTGTAACTCCGGGTAATCTGGGTCAGCTGCCCCAGGTGGGTAGTCTTATAATTAGGCAGCTCTTCATTTTCCAGCCACTTTACCTAAGAAAACCTGAAGCTTTGAGGATGACTGAGCAGCAGTTCCCCTCAACAGAAACACTTGTGTGGTGTACCAGGAGTGGTTTTAAATGGTGGAGATAATTACTTAATTTGAGCTGTAGCAACTGGCCAAGTAAACATGTAGCAGCCAGGAAGCTATTAGCATGATTTTAAGGCAATTATTCCATTAGTGTTTAATAGTCTCCAATTAGTCTTCTCTGACTATCAAAGTTTGAATATCTTTTTTTCCTCCAAAAATTCTCAGTGCTGAATAATGCAAAAAGGTGCCAAACCTGTTTTTAAACCTGGTTTTTTTACATGTGTGGATCTTCCAAACCCATTTACAGAAACATGGGGGTATTCAGGAGTATAGATTTGATGAAATATGTTGTGTCTATTTTTTTCTCACAAGTATTGGAGTGAGAAGGGGAAGTTTTACAGGGGATCCATTTGAGCATAATACCAAGAGGAGTTGGGAAAACAATATAAATTCCCATGGAAGCCCAATGCCATCATCATCTTCATGTCTGTACTCTAAGATCACCCAGATACCAAAATCTCTCACTTCGGGTTTTTATTTTGTCCATGGGAGGAAAGGAAAATTACTCTGTTCCCACTAATGCTTACTTCCTTTTTCCTTAACCCTGGTTAGTCACAGTTGCTGCTGAATCATCCAGATACAAATCAAAAAGCCTTTCCCTCCAAAATTCATAGGGTATCTTCCCAAAGGTCCAATTAAGGGGTCAGATCCCTGAACTGATAGGGATCTGCATTTGTCTTCGCTTAGCTTCAGTTTTTTCATCTGTGACATCGAGGTAATAATGCCAGCACTGCCTGCTTCATGGGGTTTTGGAAGGATTATGGGACCTGGTGTACATAACAGAGATTGGAAAGTGAAATATTACAGAAATGTAAGGTAGACTCAAAAAGGTATCATACCATCTCTCAGAACTAGATAAGCAAACTTAGGCTTTTAATCCTGTATCTCTAGAGAGTCACCTGCCAGAAGGTTTGCATCACACTGATTGCCCTTCTTACCTTCTATGCATATAAAAACATTCAGAGGAGACCATGTGAAAGAAACTGTCAAAAATCCAAATAAAAATGAGGAAGGAAAAGGAATGGGAATGCCTGTGGAAGCGAGAATGGAGTTATGCCAGAGTTGTGCTTTCTACTGTCTCCTTGAAAAGAGCAATCCCCAGGCTCACCTAGGTAGCAGAGTAAGTGCTGCATGGAGAACCTCGGGTTGGTTCTTTTCCTTGGAGATCCCTGGCCCTTGGGAAGCTATCTGTTGAAGAAGGACAAAAGGAGACAGCCCCTTCTGTGAATAGCACTTGTAGCAGAGACTGTGCCTGCCATTGCTGTCAAATATTCACTTGACTAACAACCATTGATTTGAGGGACTAATCAATGGCAGCACTGTTGGTTGGAGCATATAGTGATTTTCAAAATAACCCTTCTTTTGTTTTTGTTTTTGTTCTGTTTTGTTCTTTATTATGTTTTCCTCCAATCGCTGAGAGGGGGCGCTGGATGGAGCAGATCAAGAGGAGGTAGACCAGAACCTTGAATTTAATAACCCAGCTTAGTTCAGGGCCAGAAGTGGACTGTTCATGAGTAATTTGCCCTCCAGCCCAGCTCTGAAAAGATCAGGTGTGTGCTCCCGTAGCACAACTGCATAGCCAAATTGCTAATAAAGTATGGCCGTGTCCCCATTTGTCATTGTTGTAAACTAGTCCTGAAACAACCCTCACTCCTGGATACCTGATCTGGGGGTTGCTGGAATCTCCCACCCTAGAAACCTGCCCGGTCTATGGTCCAAGTCGCACACGTCAAACCGAAGCTTCTTGATCCCTCAGGTCTCTTCCTTGCTTTGTCCACCCTTCTTTCCTTCTAGGATGTCTGGACACATTCTCAGTCACCTTTTCCCTAAAATTTGCCTATTAATCCCACCCCTCTGCTGCAGGTCACCCAGGTTCCCCTGCCCAGCTTCTGTCCCAAGCAGCAAACACACGGTCCACAAGGGTTTGCTTTTCTGACCTGGGCGAGTGTGTTGCCAACACGCACTGGGACCAGACTCCAGACGGCGACCACTTGGCCAGGCCCCCCGGGGTCCACGCCAGTACTCAACGGTGCCCTCTGCCCGTCGCCCCCTTCGGCTCCTTTTCAAGGGCAGCTATCACGCTGCCTCTGGTCCCTGAACTTTCATCACTCTTCGGGAAGCGCTTTGTCTTTTTAAAGGAGATTGGGGACGAATATTAATGACTCTAGCCGAGAATCTATCAAATCCGCTCAATTCCATGCCAGGGATAGACTCAGGTCCTTGCACCGGAGGCGAGCCCCTGACACTAGCTCGCGTTCGCCGCACACTGTCACCCACAGACCCAGAGATCGCTCCCACTCCCCCAAATCTGCAGGGGAAACCATAGGAGGGGGTCACGAGGCACCATCCTGGAGCCCAGCTTCTCCTCTGCTCCAGTCCTCCGCATATAACCTGCTTCAAACGCCCAGGAGAAAAGCAGTCACCTTGACTCTAGCGCCTCGGTCCTTAGAGGTCTGGAAAACGCCAGGAAGCCCAAGGCTACCCGGCACGGGCTCGCCTGGCCTGAGACCCACCCTGGAAGACGAGTTTCCCTCCCGCGGGCATAGTGGCAAGTTACCACTTAGTGGCAGATAAAGCAGGGCGGGGCAGGTGGAGCGGGCGCCGAGCGCCTAGCCGGCAGCCCCTGCGCGCCTACCTGGAATGGCTAAATTGGTGAGGGGGATGCTGTGGATGCTCTCCGGCAGAGTTGCCATCCAGTCGGCTAATTTCAGCTCGTTTTTCCCCTGAGACGAGGCCATCGTGCAGTCGGCGTGCAGCGCGCTGGTCCCAGCACTCCTCGGGCAGGTTGGCAAGCTGCTGCCGCTAATCCAATGTTTGCTCCAGCCCCGCTAGAGTTTACACTCCTCTGTGCGCCACACCCACAGGATGGCGCAGACACATGCTAATTTTAATAATTATTCAAAACACCCCGTGCTCCCTTAGTGCCTCCGCCAGACTCCGCTGGAGCTTTTGTTCCTGACGTCGGTGCTCTGCTCTCTCCGCTCTCCCCTCCCTCTCCATCTCCCTCCTCCCGTCTTACCCTTTCTAGGCGTCTCTGCCTTTCCTCGCCATTCTGCAGCTTTCTCTGGTTTATTTTTCTTTTCTATTCATTTTTTTTTCCAACTGCTTTGCCCATGGCTTGCTCAGTCCTTTGGTGTGACTTTCTCGTCCTCTTTGTACGAAAGACAGTCTTGCAGTTGAACCTAAAATCCTAGTAGACTTTGGGATGTTATTGCTTCCTGAGGAACAGGCTTTTCATGCTGGCTTTCAGGGCTTTCCATCGCTATCAAAGAGCTTTCCTTTTTGTAATCTACAACAGGTTATACCTTTCCTCAGCCAGAGACCACAACCCTGTTTATTAAAAAATGATGATCTTTATTCACTCTTTTGCCTACTTTGTGAAATAGCTGGTAAGTGTGGGCCAGTGAAGGACATGGTAACTTCTAGGTGGTTCCCATCTAATCCTGGGTACCTTGCTCCAGACATTTCAAAGTCAAGAAATGCTGTTCCCCCTTCTTTTCTCAGATCATGAGAAGTCTACATTATTTCTATAGAGAACACTGCCTCCGTCCTGTCAGTTTCATGGCACTCAGGGTAAGACTGGAGTCTTATGCTGGAAGAAAATCACCACATCTCCCAGTGACATGCTCTAATTATTGCCAGTAGCATTTGTTGGAATGTATTTGGTACCATTCAAAGTGATCTATGTAACTGTCTGGATTTTCATTCTTTGCAGACTGGAAAGATGTGCCTCTCTCAAGAGAAATCACTCACTGAGCCTCCAAAGAACTGTCTGGGTCCACCTGCTCTCAGATGAGTAAAAGGAGAGAGATGAAGTTTTACAAATGTAATGAGACCAGCAGTGGCCTCAATAGGAATTATAGGAGATGAACTGAAAGTGTGCTGGGCCTTTACAACCCAGGAAATGGAGATGTAATAAAGAGACCTCTGTTCTTTCATGCCAGGGTTGTGTAAATTTTTATTTTTCTATGGGAAATGCTATTAGATTGGGGAAATGACAATCAACATAGGAGACAAAGAGAGCCATAAAAAATGAGAATAATTATTCAAGGTTAGTGAATCCATTTAATCCCAAATAGCATTAAAAAAAATAAGAAAAAAACCTGGAGCCTAGCTTATTTCCTGCAATGATGCTAAGTCCTGAGAATATTCACCCCCAAATGGGGAGCAATATGGGAAAGATAGAGGACAGGTAATATCTCATTTTGGTTATCAAATTTTCCATCTACCTTATAAAATAAATTCATACCTTCAAGACGACACGGTGCAGTTATTTTTAATGATGAGGAAGAGATGTACTGAAATTTTTTTCCCAAAATAAATCTTAATATATATGCTAGTACAATAGAACCCACACCCACATATCCTTTTAATTAGGATGATAATTCAGCTTACTATAGGACTCCTGGTAAAGAGATCTACAAACACCACCCTTCTGTAAGAAACCTACAAACACCACCTAATGCTGGTGATCTCAGGGCATGATTGCAGGGCAATGAGGAAAGTTCAAATCTAGCGGTCAGCTGCTCTGTCTCTGAGTAGCTTGGGCAAGTCCTCTAGTCTCTGCTAGCCCCAGTTTTCTCCATTATAAAGTGGTAATAAGAACTCAGAGATTTGTGGTGAAGCTTCCAGAAGAGAGTGCATATATGTTTAAGATAACAGGATATATGTATTTACCACTCTTTGTCTTTTCTATACTTATGTAGTATTTTTTTCAAGAGCATGAAATAATTAATGAGTCTGGGGTATATTTTTAATAAGACACACTTTAGAAACGTGCCCTGTTAAAGTATATTGAGCTTATGTGGCCCTAAAAGTTTACAAAGCATTTTTTTAAAAATGAAACCACCTTAAATGGTAAGGAAAGTTCCCTCTCTAAAGAATCATACTATCTTTTGGCAAAACACACAAACAATCCCTTCTGTGTTTCATCTGATTTGGATTTCAGGATTTTAAATGTCTTGGTTTAATATAAGTTATTATCATTTTCTGCTTGCAACCCATGAAAAAAGACGGCCTGAAAGTTGATAGTTGTGAATTTCTTTCTCAACCAACAATATTTTGGGCAATTATATGACCCAGTTTCTCCATCTTTCTATCACCAACCCTGCTGCCATTTACTAAAACACATGAGAACAATCACGTAATTTCTCTGGGCTTTAAATTTGTCACTGGATTAATCAAGGTTCTCCAGAGAAACGGAACCAGTAGTATATAGAGAGAAAAAGAGATTTAGTTTAGAGAAATTGTCTCATATGATTGTGAGAGCTGGCAAGTCCAATATATGTAGGGCAAACTGGAAGGCTGGAACATGAGATAAGAATTGTTCCTGCAGTCTTGAGTTCAAAATCTGCACAGCAGACCAGCAGGCAGGAACTCAGGAAGGACTTCTATGTTGCAGTTTTTAGGCAGAATTGCTGCTTCTTCAGAGAGCTTTAGTCTTTGTTTTTAAGGCCTTCAACTGATTTAATGAGGCCCACCCACATTATAACAGGTAATGCACTTTACTCAAAGTTAAATGATTATAAATGTTAATCACATCCACAAACACCTTCACAGCAACATCTACACTAGTGTTTGACCAAGCAATTGGGCATCACAGCCTAGCCTAGTTGACATATAAAATAAACCATCAAACCCACTTGCAAATTAACTAGAAGCTACTACCAAACTCTAAAGCCCCCTTTGACTCTATTATTCTATCATTTTATTTTCTTTATGATTCTTTCTCATTTATATAGCTGCTCAAAATAGCAAAAGGAGGCATGTAATATTTACTTTCTTTCTTTCTTTTTTTTTTTTTTGAGACGGAGTCTCACTCTGTCGCCCAGGCTGGAGTGCAGTGGCACAAACTTGGCTCACTGCAAGCTCCGCCTCCCACGTTCATGCCATTCTCCTGCCTCAGCCTCCCTAGTAGCTGGGACTACAGGAGCCCGCCACCATGCCCGGCTCAATTTTTTGTATTTTTAGTAGAGATGGAGTTTCACCGTGTTAGCCAGGATGGTCTTGATTTCCTGACCTCGTGATCTGCCCGCCTCGGCCTCCCAAAGTGCTGGGATTACAAGCGTGAGCCTCCGCGCCTGGCCTGCTTTCAATTTTTAATTCATGCAGACAACTCAAGATATAGACCAACATTTTTTTCCCCACAAAACAGATGAGAAAACACCAATGGTTTTTAATTATGGCATTGATAGTAGTCTACCTCTGAGAATCAAATGCTTTTAGGCATAAATGAAAAGAGAAAAATGACTCATTGCAGTGGCTTCGTGCTACCACCAAAAGTTGTTTGTGTAATGCTCTGCTGTCCATCAAATTCATACCACGCAAAGTTGATGAACATGGATACTCATCTGGAACATTTTCTTACTTCATATCCTCTTCCACCCATAAAAATACATAACTCTTTGCCATATATGTTCTTCCATTAATTCATAATCTTTCTCAATCATTGGAGATATCTATTTTATTTTTGTAACTGGATTTATTTTGAATTATATTCTGAAAAACAAGGGTTCTTATAGATCAGAAAACTTTAGAACACATTTTAGTCAAATAATATTTTGAAAGAGGAACTTTGTCTAAAACAATTCTGCCAAATTATTTTTTTAAACACAGTATTCTAAAATATGCACTTACAGAATCAGACTTAAAACATATCCAAAAGGGCTACAAAAAACCTTTGTGAAATTAACTATTAATAATCAAATTTTTTTTACCATACTTTACAACTTTTATTTAGATATTCCATCCAAAGAATTTTTCTGTGTTTTAAGGACAAAAATGCTTTTGTACTTAAATTCAAAGTAGAAAAAAGTGATGACCCTCTCTTTTCACCACCAGTTTAACCCTGCAGAGTTTTCTGTCTTATCTCTCTTGTCCTCCCCTAGTCTACCTTTTATATGTCAGCCCTAAGCAAGCTAATTTACACTCACTGAATGTAATCTATTGGCTGGAATCACCAGTTATAGAATGTGATGATTCAAATCCAGGTCTTCCCAGTCAATTACTGTGCGTTTCTTCATATCTTTTTCTGAAATATAAAGAATGATTATTTTCTCCTGGAGGTGGGGAAATTGAAGATGCTATGAAGCTTAATAAAGGAAGGAATTTAAAGTTTATTAACAGACTGGAAGATGAAAAATTATACTTTCATGCTCCTTGCTCCCACCATGACTTTGCTCATGGACATGAAATGAACGTACTTCATGCTTTCATCTATCAAAATTCTTTCCATTCTAACCAACGTCTCTTTGCAATTTCCCTTACTATCTGCAAGTAGAAGTAATCTTTTTTATCTCTGTACACCCATTGTGGTTTGTAGTATTGTGTCTCTCATTCTCTAGCTAGTCTTAAAGCATATTGTAGGCAAGGATGATGTCATTTAACACTCTCTAATGTCTTTCACAGAGCCCAAGACATAATAAGGGCTCATTCTAATCATTCATTTTACTCACTTATTTCCTTATTTCATAAATATTTATTGAGTGTCTATTATGTGCTCTCAGAAAAAATAGAGCAGCAAGTCCCTGAACTCTTTGACTTGATGCTCCAGGCAGAAAGCAGCAAATGATAGCTTTATGGCTCAATAAATAAATGACTTGGCTGTATCTCTTATCTCAATGGCAAAATCCAAATTTTGCATCCCTATTTTTAGCACTTGGGTAAGTAGCAAAACACCAAAGACTTACACCTTAGTTTTGAAAATACATTTTAAAAGAAAAATTGGAAGAATTGTTTTGTCTCTCTATACTTTTTCCCTTAATCTTTCCTATCTCTACTGCATTTTTCCCTAATACAATAGGGAAGAGATTTGGAAATGACATGATAAATTCTTCTAGATCTCCAGGGGTCAT